CTGCTCCACAACGCCGCCTTATCTCTCTAGATGTGTCGATACACTACTGATTGGCTATTCAATACTGCACCTCCACATTCATTTGGCTGTGCTCTACTGTTGGTTTCTGTTCTGACTTGCAGCTTACTCTGCCTCACAACGCCGCCTTACTCTCTAGATTTGTCGATACACTACTGATTGGCTATTCAATACTGCACCTCCACATTCATTTGGCTGTGATGTACTGTTGGTTTCTGTTCTGACTTGCAGCTTACTCTGCCGCACAACGCTGCCTTATCTCTCTAGATGTGTCTCTACACAGCTGATTCGCTGATTGCTTATTCAAAACTGCTCTTTCACATTCGTTTGGCCAATTTTCTCAGTCCTACTGCTGGTTTCTGTCCACACTTGTGACTTTGGTTAGTTTTTTTAGAAAACCACAAAGTTGTTGTATCTTATCTCTCTAGCCTCAAGGCTATACTCGGCTAATGATAACATACTGCTCCAGTTCCGGCCTGGAAACAGTTTCTAATATATTTCTAGTTTCTATCAAGACACTCACGCCTAAAGTCAGTTCTTTACAGGTCGCAGTTCCTATCCTACTTCAGTTCCTAATAGGCTAGGTCGCAGTCTCTACCCTACTTTAGTTCCTAACAGGTCGAAGGTCCTATCCTACTTCAGTTTCTAACAGGTCGCAGTTCCTACCCTACTTCAGTTTCTAACAGGTCGCAGTTCTTATCGTGATTCAGTTCCTAACATGTCGAAGTTCCTATCCTACTTCAGTTTCTAACAGGTCGCTGTTCCTATCCTACTTCAGTTCTTTACAGGTTGCAGTTCCTATCCTCTACTTCAGTTCCTTACAGGTCGCAGTTCCTATCCTACTTCAGTTCCTAACAGGTCGCAGTTCCTATCCTACTTCAGTTCCTAACAAGTCGCAGTTCATATCCTACTTCAGTTCTTTACAGGTTGCAGTTCCTATCCTCTACTTCAGTTCCTAACAAGTCGCAGTTCATATCCTACTTCAGTTCCTAACAGGTCGCAGTTCCTATCCTACTTCAGTTCCTAACAAGTCGCAGTTCATATCCTACTTCAGTTCCTAACAGGTCGCTGTTCCTATCCTACTTCAGTTCCTAACAGGTCGCAGTTCCTATCCTACTTCAGTTCCTAACAAGTCGCAGTTCATATCCTACTTCAGTTCTTTACAGGTTGCAGTTCCTATCCTCTACTTCAGTTCCTAACAGGTCCCAGTTCTTATCGTGATTCAGTTCCTAACATGTCGAAGTTCCTATCCTACTTCAGTTTCTAACAGGTCGCTGTTCCTATCCTACTTCAGTTCCTAACAAGTCGCAGTTCATATCCTACTTCAGTTCTTTACAGGTTGCAGTTCCTATCCTCTACTTCAGTTCCTAACAGGTCCCAGTTCCTATCCTCTACTTCAGTTCCTTACAGGTCGCAGTTCCTATCCTACTTCAGTTCCTAACAGGTCGCAGTTCCTATCCTACGCCAGTTCCTGCCCTACGTCAGTTACTATCATACATCAGTTTCTATTCTTCGTTAGTTCCTAATCCTATCCTACTTTAGTTCCTATCCTACGTCAGTTCCTATCCTACTTCAGATCCTGATAGGTAGTATTTTTTCTATGTCAGTTCCTCCTGAGACCAGGTGTCAGTTCCTATCCTACGTCAGTTTCTAAAAGATCCCAGCGCATATCCTCAGTCAATTTAACAGGTCCCTGTTCCTATTATACGCCAGTTCCAAAAAGGTCGCAATTCCTATTATAGACCAGTTCCAAAAATGTCGCAGTTCCTACCCTACACCTTTCCTAACAGGTTGCAGTTCCTATTCAAAGTCAGTTTTTTAACAGATAGTAGTCACTATCCTAACTCAGTTCCTAAACAGGCCCTAGTTCCTATTCTAAGTCCGTTTCAAACAGGTTTCAGTTCCTATCCTACTTCGCAGTTCCTGACAGGAGTGACAGGACCCAGTTCCTATTCTACGTCAGTCCCTAACAGGTCGTCCCAGTTCCTACCCTACGCCTTCCTTAACAGTTCCCATTCCCTATCCTGTTAGTTCTTTAAAGGTCCCAATTCATAACATTTTCAGTTCCTATCCTACTTCTGTTCCTAACAGATCCCAGTTCCTATCCTCTACTTCAGTTCATTACTGGTCCCAGTTCCTATCCTACTTCAGTTCCTAATAGGTCGCAGTTCCTATCCTACTTCAGTTCCTACATGTACCAGTTCCCTGCAGGTGGCGCGAGCCGTTACCATGTTACGACACGGTCTGTGAACAATGAACATAACGACACAACGTAATTGTTCTACTGATAACAAAAGTATTCGCCTTTATGATAACAAAGGTAGCCGATAAGGTTTGAGCTACCTTGGCCTGGCGAACAAAAATAAACCTTATGGTAGATTGGCTCGCCCACGCCCTGGTATACGGCTCTTGTTTTTGATAGACTTTAGTGACATCGAAATTTTAAGTTTGTGTTAAGAATATTTAAAAATTTGTCGCGTGCTTATCTTGAATTGACTTCTACAAAACAATAATCGACTTGTATAAGCAATCATCATTTTCATATCGTATTTTACATTGCTTACTTTTCTAAATAGAGAGTAGCAATATGCATAATATTCCGCAAACTCCTCAACCATAAGATTTATATTCAATTTGTTGTGCTTTTATGAAAGATTATCAATAAAATGATTTCTCAATTTAATATTTACAAGGGGCCCGTAGCATCAGCAATTGCAAGCCTTAGCCATTCCCTGCTGTGCACCATTCTTAAATATTATGTTGGTTTACCTTATGATTGCCAGGTATCCAACATAATTAATAATTTGTTCTTGAAACTGGGAATACCACATAAATTCTTAAATACTCACCTTCGTAGTCGCGGTCTTCCCCTAACACGATACATTTCAAGATTTCAACACTGCATTAACCATTCTAACCTAAAAACAGAACACCAAAATCAATCAAAAACAAATACGCAATGTTTACATCAGCTGGTGTATTTAAAACAGCTTGTAGAAACATTGTGCTTCCTTTATAAAATCACTGAATCTTTGACGGTCTGTGGGCCAGAGAAGGGGTAATTTTTGACACCTCTGATATTTTCTTCACGTCCTTGGACCTTGAGCTGAATGAATCCTCAACATGACCTGACCTTTTTCCTAGCTCGAGTTATTTCATGGGTACAGACACCGATTCGCTTACGGAATTAAATATATAGATTTCGATTGTATGCTACAGTCAACAAGAGCAAAATACTCCATATAATTTTTAAATGCTACACAATTACTGTTTAGCACCACGATTCGAGAAACAAAAAATGATAAAATTATATTGGCTACCTCAACTTCTGTGTAATGTGTTTATGATAAAATACACAAAGACATTCAAGCATCACTGTTTCCTACACATTTTGATTGGTCATTACCAATTTTTTTATGATGATGTCAACTACACCATCAAATGCCGATATGCAATATTATAATATGTGCGTAATGCACATATTAAGTTTATAGTTAATGACTTGCACCACGTTGTTATTGCTAAATTTCAAAAGTATTTATGTTTTTTATTATTTTTTATTATACACAATTTTACACATTCCGCTTATTCCCTACCTGTAATTGATTTAACGTTGTTGACAGCATTTTTTAAGCCACACAATTTGGGATTAGTAAGTGTTTTGGTTTTCCTATGCATCCAATTCTTCATTTACCCTTTTCGTGTGTTCAAATCATGTTTCAAACACTTTTAGCGAATTTAAATCTAGACTTGTGGTAGGGGAACTGCGAAGTTGTCAGTTCTGCCATAGTTACTCATTCTAGTAGTTGTTGGTTTACTCACCAGACTGCAGCACCGTCTTGACGTACTGCATTGCCATCCACAGCAAGCTAACCCACAGAGAAGTAATTTCTCTGTGGTTAACCGTACTTAGACCCAGGCCCAGAGGCAGTAGTAGGGTATACTATGTATATTTTGTTTGATATTGATAATAGTCATAACACTTCATAAATAAATCAAAACAATGTATACCTGCTATATTTTAATTACAAATTAATACAGTATTGCATACACTCAGATATTAAAAGTTATTTATAAGGAGGTTTTAATCATTCATGAACAATAAACCTTAAGAAAAAAAATTGTACTTCAGCCGATTTTGCAAAAATTGTGAAATAAATTTAAAATAGTTACCTAATTAAAATCAGGACCAATCACAGTATTTCCTTATTATTAGTGGTGTTATGCTAATGTTAAAAAATATATATTGCAAACAATTTTCTTCGTATTGATCTTGCCCAATTATTTTCTCATGGTAATAAAGCTCAAATTCAAACCATTTCGGTAACTAACATACCTAATTGATAAGATTTAATTTCTTAAAAACATTTTTTCAAAATATTATTATAGTCTTAAGTTTTAAAAACCAACATAAAAAAAAATTACTAAATAATATCTTACCTTGGATTTCAATTTCATGTTTCAGATGAGATAACTGTGTAGTATGAGAAAGATCAAGAAGGTGTGTGATAGCAGCACTGATAGCTAGATCTTCAGTGCAGCCTCAAAAGAGACAAGCAGTCAAGAACAGACCAGCTGTATAATGTTCTATACTTGACCAAAAACTTTTGACACCTTCAACTTCACTGACAGCGTGGAGTGGAGACCACACCGATGAGGGACATGTGTTTGTAAGCTCTGGGTAAAACAGTCGGAAATGGCCAAACCTCCTCATTCTAAAGACTACACCATGCATTGAGCCAAATAACAAGCTATGTCCAGAACAAACATCAAGCTTTGGCAGTGGCGGTCCCAGGATTTCATTTCGGGCCAGGGGGGGTGAATGACCACCCGGGGGTCGGGGGGTTATGGAATATACACTAGAAAAAGAGGGGGGTCCCCCCTGGAAAGAATTTAGGCTAATGAAATATAAAATTTTTGGGGGTGATATATCCCTCCCATCACCCCCCCCCCCAGGACCGCCACTGAGCTCAGCCCTAGAGTATGAAACTGCAGGTTCAGAACGACCAGCTGTGGGTTTGGATCAGAGTGCTCGCTGGTTTGGATCAACAATCAGCTCAAAACACCAAGCAGAAAGCTCAGAACAAAGCTTAAAAACAATGAGAATTCTCGGAATAACCAGCAGCAAGACCCTAAAGTCTAAACACCAACAATGAATGCTAGAAGAACCACATTTCCAACCAAAGTCTGATTTTAGCAGTGTTACTAACTACAAACTAACATATGGCTCTTTAGCAATACCCGGAAAGGTACGTTAAAAACTTTCCATTCTAGGAATAAAAAATAAGTCAAAACTGATAACAATACTGTACTTAGATTAAAATTGTTGATCTAATTTTCATAAAGCCCTATTTATATATCCATAAATTATTATTACGCTTTGCCTCTGCAAAATAATCTTGTTAAATATTAAAACAACTGTTTTTCTATAGTAACAACCATAACTTAATCATATGATGCAAACAAATAAATATCAACACCTCTAGATCAAGTTCATCAAACTTTCAATTAATTCTACCTAGAATGTTTGGAAAAGCGAACTTACTCAGGACTGCTCCTACAAGTTTCATTAACAAAAAATCCATTCACTTAACGTTAACCTCTTTCTTGGACGATGAAAGCAAGAAATTGTTGGAAAAAGATGGAAGAGTGAATGGTTTGAATACACTTCAACCAAAATCTGATGTTCCAGGTTTAAGCTCAAATGTACTCAGTATTCCTGATCATGAAGTGGGCCCCGGCGCATCAAAAACTGGAGTTTACAAAAACGCAGAGTATTTCTGTTACCATGCAATGTCATTTTACAATGCAGAGATTGAACTGATGTCTTACCGGTTGCCCCAACCTTCAGCGTTGAACAACTTAAACCATGCTTGTTAATGGAATCAAAATTATGTCAAATTTAACTAGTGTGGATACATTAGGTGAAAGTATTAAGTTTGAAAAATGTATGGAATAAAAGAGATCCTATAAATTGTATGTTAGGGCTTACAATTTTAAGAAATCAATTTTTTGAATTTGCATTAGTCAGCTAAAAGACACACTCCATTTTTGGTGTGATTATGAAAATGTAAAGCAAGATTATTACTGTAGTATGTAAAATAACTGATTTGTTTATTAAAAGGGTTGTTCCTTGATCATGTATCCTTTATCGTAGAAAAAAGTATATTTAAAAGATATAAAATAAAAATATATCTAAAATTGCTGATTCTATGCTGTGTTGCTATAACCCTATAAAATTAAATGCAACTTGAGGTTTGATTAAACTATGAGTATTTTATATAAAAAAAATTGACAGTAGAGTATACAACCATTGACTTTATATCTACACTAGACATCCTATCGTGTACTAAAATCCATCGCCAACGATTTCAGCCGAACTAGTAGGTATAAAGCCAATGATACAACAGAGAAATCATTTTTTATAATTAACTGTACATTAACCATGTTCACAATTCAGCACTAAAAGTTCCTTAAAGCTGTAGAGTACAAAAATTTTTCCACAGTTCAACCAAGATAACCTTGTTTCTTTATTTCCTAGATAAAGTCTGCTATAAAATAAAGCACTATCAGAACTGCAACAGTATTCAAATTCAACATGTGGCAGGGAGGTGTGTGTCTAGTGGTACTGATGGCGATGTTCTCGTCTTCCGAGGCGTTTGTCAAGATGGTTGCCATTCCGGTGATCTACACCAACGGTAACGGAGGCGGCCAAGATGAGTTAGAGGTCCCAGCTAGTGGAGACGGCTACAGGATGTTTGAGACCGCAAACACTGTCTGCGCAGCTTGGTGGGTCCCCTTCGACAACATCCCAGACCTATCAGCTATCCATCTGATAGAGGTGGAGCCCAGCGGAACTAAAGTGCAACTTCACGTCAGAGGGATTGCGCGAAGCGGACGAGTCCGTATTAAAATATACGCATTCATATGTGGTTGAATGTTTGGAAATGATGTACAAGTTGAACTGTAATAAATTTGAATGAAAATTGAGTTGTGAGTTTATTACCTTGTAAAAATGGGTGCAGGGGGTCACGGCTTACGCTATGAAAAATCTAAATTCAGAAATTTGCTTACCTTTGTTAGGTTTAGGTTGAGGGCTGGTAGCAGTACAGACAGACAACAATTCTATGGCAGCGATGCCGTGGGTTCATGTCCTACTGCCCGTCACTAAATCTTATTTATGGATAATTGTTCTGTACTGGCTCATTCCTTGCTTTGCTGGATACAATCCCAAACCATAAGTTTAAATGGCTCTCCCAGCGAGCTAGAAGTCTTATCAGACATGGATGTGTATCAGTCGTCTGTTGGTGCAGTGGAGGGGATGGAATCACTTCCCCTCAAACAGCCTAAATTATGTGGGCGGAGTATAGTGCAGTAGGTGTATCTGTATCCCTACCCAAGACGTCAAGGGTGAATAATTGTTTGTTGATCAAACGTCTCAAATCCACCAGTTCAATGCCAAGCAGTCAGTAGATTTTTGATTGTTCGACCCAGTTATAGGCCTAGCTACTTCATCATTGGACTTAACTATTATCTATCAGAAACAGCTAGTCTTAGGCAGTGACAAGGCACTTCAAGGCTACTCCACTAAAACAAATATGGGCTTTTGGGTATATGAATTCTCTTTTTCAAAAAGAACATAGTGACTCACAGAATCTGCTATGCTACGATCTAAAATTTCATTTTCCGTCTTAAGCCTTGTGACTGAATACAATCCTAGGTTTAAATTATTTCAGGATTTCACTTTTCAGTCATTTCAAATAAGTGTCGAGTCCCTTCAAAGTTTGTGAACCCCTTAATGTTTTAAAATTGGCTTTTAGAAGTTTTACAGGTTTAAGTTTTTCAGTCGTCAAGTGACTTAGTTATTCTCGTTATTCAAATAGAAGTGGGATGATATTCAAAAGCTGTTAAGAAAGTCTCAACTGTATATTTTAAATGCACAATTTAATTTTTGGTTTAAAATTTTAAAATCCAAAAGAAAATTTATGCCAGCATCAAATTCAACATGAAGTTACTTGTCGATTAAGAGAACTTCTAATAAGTATTCAACAGGATAAAAAAACAAACCAACACTCAACAGAAATTGACAGGAAAGAGGGGGAGAACAATTTGTGTCCAAGGTGTACCCTCTGTTTTTGTTTTCTAGACATACAGTAGATAGTTTTTATCACTTCTCAAAACATCCATCGTTTATTAACGAGATACACTATAACCTTTAAACCAGACACCCATCAGAAATGGCTCAAAACCCGATCTTCTAAACGACTTTGCCATTTAGGCTACATCCATTTACTATGTCTAGACCATCAAATCAAACAACTTGCAATCGGTGTGTAATCATGTAAGACTAGAGAGTTAATAAGTAGGGCATTAAGTAAGACCTCAAATAATAAAAATTAAATCTTTTATTCAAAAGTACAAAAGTACAGTTAAAAGTCTTGTCAGTTGGAACAAGTGAAGCTTAGTCGAAGAGACCTGAAACAGAAAAAATTGTCTTATTACTTGAAAACTTTTCATATATGTTAGCGTAATTACAGATGTTCTTCATTGCACAAATGTTTCATGTAGCCTTATCATTTCTCCTTTTTCAAAATACCCAAGCTTAGCATGACAAAGTTTATGATTCTCAGAATAACCTCAGAAAGACGGTTATTAAAAGTTGTATAAACAAAACAAGCATCAGAACACGTTGGGATATTTGACTTTCATCAAAACAATCAGTCCCGAAAGATGATTTCATCACTAGCTTGTTAAATTTGAATCAAACGTACTTAATAGGTATGAAAAATAATGTAGAAAGAGATTAACTCAAATCGAAATACACAAACAATAAATTTGTGGATACAAAAAATCAACTGGTTTACTAGAACTTAAACTTTTAACATAAGAACATATAAGAGATCAATTGAATAACTGGTAAATTTTATTGGCTTTTATTTATAGGCCTATTCTAAAATTAAAAATTCTCCAGTCATACAAATTCTGGCATAATTCATTGATTCAGGTTAGCTGGACATCTTAAATGAACAATGGACTACTCGTGATACAAAATAACAGAAACATAATCATTGCGATTATGGATCAGTTGTTCATTATGTTGTGTCAGTGTCACCAAGATTGCGGCTGATGATCACAAATTCATCGTGAATCCAAAGTAGGGAATCAATGCTTTCCTAACACTCCCGGTATTGAAACTTATGTGGAATAGAGAATCGGAACCGACCCATCCCTATTTTTAGGACATGACTGCACAATTTTTGCATTATTTTAGGTTATTTCATTGTTGAAATTTACGGCCTTAAGGTTTTCACAGTTTAAGTGAGTATTATGTGTATTTCAAGTAATCAAAAAATCAGGTCAAATTTACAAAACCAAAGCAATTACATTTCCCTTCGGGAAATAATTACTGCAGAAAAATAATGGTAAAACAACAGCAGGAATCAGACAGGAAATTAGTGGAGAAACGCAAGACTTCTTTCAACACAAATTCAACTCCAATATTGTAGGCCTAAAGATATCAGCTGATGACTCATTCATAGCAACCTTGGATTACAGAGTGTGTCGAGATTATCAAGTGCGCTCCCATTGAGAGTCAACTATGTAAGTGTAACAACTATTATTTTGGCTTATAAAGTATAGAGCAACACTTACCGAAGCCCATGTCATCACCAGACTCGTCTTCACTCTCTTCCTTCTTCTTCTCCTCCTTCTTCTCAGCAGCCGGAGCAGCGGCGGACTGAGCGGCAGCAGGGGCTATAAATAATACATGATTAATGTTAAGGCTGAGGCATCATTAAATAATAATAAATTATTAAAACTGAAACCCTTAAATGTTTATTTTGGTTTCAGTTATTTCGCAAGCCTCAGAACACGTTGGGATATTTTACTTTCAGCAGAAAATGTCAGTCCCGAAAGATTGGTCATCATTGGCTTACTGATACAGGATTTCTTCTTGGAGAGCACATTGTTGTCATATTACTAGTCATAACGTTTAAAAGCAAAGGGAAAAAAGAAAATTAAGCCTCCCTTTGAAGTGGGCTTATCTTATGGGACAACTAGGCCAACATTACTTTTTTTGTAAATTACTATGAAGGTTATTCACACACAACAGTTCCGTCACACACATTTCACAGTAAAAAAATGTATTCTTAAATGGATTTGTTTCGCTATCTACACTCTACGCACAGGTCCGTCAGTCTATTTCAGCTTTTTTCATGCCAATATTTTGGTATTGTTCAGACGACTGACGATCATGTGATGTTTGACACTTTCATGTGGATATTTTAAGTTCTGTTGTAACAATGATAAAGATGGACGATAAAAATTTGATAGAATAGGTTAATAAAAATAAATTCTTGTCCGTAACATTACTGTAAATGACTGACTCTTGACGGTAAACGGAAGACTGACGGACAGTTGACTAAGGAATTGCGGATGCAACTGAGACTGATGTGTGCAAATCAACCTTTGCAGGTATTTTAATAACAAATAGCATAGCCTACTATTGTAAAAAAAAATAGGCCTATAATTTTTTATAATAATCAATACAGTATTGGCAAACTCTGCGTAATGTGGACTGGAAGGGTGCTAGTTTGTGAAATACCAAATTATCGGGAACTAGGGTTAAAAATAAGAACAATGCAATTTTAAAGCTTTTAAGCACCAAAGCACCTTTTTTATTTATATTACAAGTCAGTATTAAGTCATCAGATATAGTACAACGAATCCTTGGTACGAGTTGTGAATGATTTGACTTGCGCTGGATTGAGTCCATACATGGACTTTCACTCGGACTCAAAAAATCACTAATTATCTGAGCCAGGTGATGGCCGAGTTATCCAGACTACCGAGTTATCAAGTGCCGAGTTTGCGCGACTCTACTTAAATAAACCGTCATGGTTGAGAACAAGGCAATAACATAACCAATGGTAATTAAAAAGTCTGTATTCAGTAGTTAATACTTAAACCGAATGCATTTTCAAACAATACAAATTATCACAAATAACCAGAATTACCAGTATTAGTCGACACCAAATTATTAAATTTAACAGGATTACCATCCAGTTGACATCCAAGAACCCAGAAAATCTTATTACACAACTTGGGCTAGAGCATAGATTGTTTACAGATAACTTGCCATTAAGAGAAAAATAAAAGGGAATGAAATAAATATTATTAGCTTGCTTGGTCGCAACTGGAGTCTGTGGGACCTTAATTTACGGACAATTTACTAACTCCTTAATAGAGCATAAAATAACAACAACTTGCACAGATTAAAAGAGTCCGTTTAGTGTAAATCTGTTTCAGACAAGCTTCAGAACACGTTGGGATATTTTACTCTCATCAAAGCAATCAGTCCCGAAAGATGATTTCATCATTAACTTGTCAAAACATAATTTATAGCCTAAACATAATTCAATTATCTAGATAATTTTAGGCCTACTCTTACTCTTGGCTTAGGAATGAAAAATATAAAACCTTTTGTAGTTCATAGTTCATATAAATTTATTAGTACTCTTAACTGGTTAGGCCTAACTTGGCGTTTAAAAACTATTTTCTGTACCTAATATTAACAATCAACCCTAAAATTACCAGAGAGCAGTTCAACCATAATTTTTGTTACAGAGTACACGACTAACTACGTAGATGACCGTCTTGAGTTCAAAGAGTTTCAATCTCTTTTGTAATTTTATTCTTTTTCAGAAAAAAAGCTATCGGCAAATAAGTACAAAATATTAGCAGGGACGTTGGTAGAATAGTTCCAAATAAACTTACCAGCGGCGGGGGCAGCGCCCACTCCTGCGCCTACGTTGGTGATGAGTTCCTTAGGGTTGACTCCCTCCAAAGCCTTGGCGAACAACCCAGGCCAGTAGGGCTCCACATCTACTCCAGCTGCCTTCAGAATGGTCTGGATCTTCTCACCCTAAAAACAACAATCATTTGTTGGGTTATAAATTTCTACAAATTTTCAAGCCAATTCTATTGTAATCAAATAGACCATTGTTTTTATTTGTCTTATAGACACAACATTGGGCACAATTAGTTTTGTAGGTTTAAGTTTATCATCGATTTTACACCTAGAGAAAAAGTTCATAACATAGGCTAACTAGTGATGGCAAAATTTCTCAAAACATTGATGTATCAACAAAAAATCGATGGTATATAAACATCAATAAAGTGTTTAAATAAATATTTAATGTAAAAAAATTAAATATTATGCTGTTCTATAGCAAGCAGGGGGAAGTGTAGCGAGCTGTCGTCTGCTGTGTCCATCTCGTTGGCCCGTTCAGACTACAGTATTATTTCTTTATCTAGGCAGCTAGGCCTAACAATATTGTTAGCCTAATGTAAAATGTTGTTCAAAATAAAAATATTATACTGTAACTCAAACTGAACAAATTAAATCTATCGTCTTAGTCTGCTCCATTCCCTTCTCTTAAAGATACTCCATAATATTTTGGACTGTAGGAACGTTGGATGATTCAGTGCTGAAAAAGAGTCAAGTGAACTAAGTAGCTTATTTATTTATTTATTTATTTCCCACGGACATCTCCATTTTACAGCATACAAAACAAAACATTAAACTCAGGATGACTTAATTGATAATACAAATTTTGTGCTTATATTAGAAATAAATCAACAATATATAATGATCTAATAACAAATAACAGTAACAATGCCAAACCTAGCCAAACAAAACAACAACTGACAAAATAACAAAGGTATACTAATAATAAATAATTTAAGACAACAACAATAAATAAAAAATATGAAACAATAACAACAAACCCACTAACAACAATAACAAATGAGAAAGATAAATATATAGATTGACTAATATAAAAATTAAATTGATTAAAGAGCAACAACAGACCTAAAGTTAAATGCAAAGACAAAAGTGAAATTTTTACAGACAAGTAGTATTAGTATGAATGGTACAACGAAAAACAATTTTAATTAGGACTGACTGAGACTGATGATCTTCTTTTTCAAAGTAGTTACGCTGTCTAGAAAAAAGTCGACATGCCTTGTCACTTTGTTGCCAGCTCCCTGGACCCGAACCATCGTGCTGTTTGCTGAGTAGCTAGTGCGGTGCTGTTGCTTGATAAACAGATCAGTCGACCTTGTGTTGGAAGGAGTCTTGAAATGGATTTGGCGGAGCATGTCAGGACAGTCGACTCTTCCGTTGATAATCTTGTGCAGGAGGACCGTCAGCAATGAGTCTACGTTCCTCCAGCGACTGAAGACCAAGTTCCAGGGATATAGTGTCAATGGGCACCTGAAGGTATGGGAATCCCATCTTGAAGCCCACCATTCGAACAAATCTTCGTTGAATTTTCTCCAGCTCATTTATTAGTAACCTTTGATGAGGACTCCATATTGGTGAACCATATTCGAGAGTTTGCCTCACCAAGGCACAGTAAAGGGACTTTAGAACTTCTGAACCGCTGAGCTGCTTTGAGAAACGGAAGATGAAACCGAGCGTTCTGTTTGCTCTACAGCATAAATCCAATACATGAGCTTGATAGTTCAATGAGGGCGTCAAGATGATGCCGAGGTCCTTAACTTGCTGCACTCGGTCAATATTTATGTTGCGAACTGAATAATTGTAGTTTATAGGGACTTTACAGCGATGAAAAGTAATGACTTGGCACTTCTTGATATTCAAATTCATCCTGTTGTCCTCACACCAACGATCAAGACTATAGTAATACCAGAAACAAAAGAACCCTCGGCCGTTTCGAGCCGCGCAGGTTTCAATGGTACGGCCCACCTACCTGCGCGAACCACGTGATCTTTTCGTTTCTGCGCAGGTTGTTTTGTTCGTGGTATATCTATAGTCAGATCTCTCTGAATCCGGAGGCAGTCATCTAAAGAAGATATAGTGGAGAAAATCTTTACATCGTCAGCGAAAAGCAGAGATTCGTTCTGAAGTGCGTCAGGGAGGTCATTAATGAAGACTGTGAAGAGATACGGACCAAGTAACGATCCAAGTAACTTATAGTAGATTGAGTAAAGATAGTGTTAACGACATGTCGACACAAGTATAAATTTAAGGTACGAGCCTTGCATTTCTTGTTTAGGTTTGGCAAATAACTAGGGCCTACATAAATGACCGCTAATAACCGATTAAGGGCAAAATTGATGTTTATGGGTAAAAACATTGCTGTTCAATGATGTTTAAAGCGATGAACAATCCATTAGCCATCAATAAACATACCGGTATTATAAGGGGAAAAAAGAAGACATAGAGAACCTTTTTTTTACAACCTAACACTTAACATATGACATGTTATGCAATGTTCAATGTTTTAAAATTTGGAATAGGCTTTGCAATACATCGCTAAACAAGAGTTGATATTTTTACATATTAGCCATTAGCCAAGACAAAAGCAGGGCGTCATGCGTCCGGGACACACGATCATCCAGATAAAGCCAGGAGGAATTTCACTGCAATGCCAAATTCAGCAAATATCGATAAACTGGTACCGGTACCAGATAAACTGTCGCAGGCGGTGGTACGGTATTTGCACTATGAGTCACTAAATAGTCAACAGCCTAAAACCCCTCTTCCTTCTACAACCCCTACATCCACATAGGGTTGTTGCGATATCAGCAATCTATCGATATTCGATTCCAGCCTCTAATATCGATATCACGATAATATTGGAGCCAAATATCAATAGGCGTATCGTTAATAACGAATATATTGATATTACTTTGGTGTTATATTACCCTTAAAAACTAATGTCGATCTACTTTGAAAAGACTTTAGAATTGAATAAACGATGTTTGAGTTTGTTTAGGATTTTTGATTAGGCCTTCTGTCAGGAAATCTTTTTTGGCAGATATCGGATCTTATGCAAACTATGTAATCAATTAACTCAATAACGGCTGAACATATCCAAACTTACCAGGGGTATTTCGACAAATATTTTTGATTTTACTAAACAAACAAATTTCAATTTGACAATAACTGTACACTTTTAGATTGAATGAGCATAAGGAACAGTTCCTGAGGCAACTGCTTGTGAAATAGCTTCACTGTATTTCTTTCTTGGAGCAGGTTAGATAATAGTTTCAAAACAGTGTTATGACCGAAGCTGCAAACTTTGCATTGTAAAGAGCTTTAATTTGATTTTGACTTTTGAGCTACTTGAAAAGGCATGATGTGTTATCAAGAAAGCTATTGTAAAACTATAGTTACAATATTAAAGTTGATTTCATTCCATCATCTACTTCAAATTGCTACAGCTGTAACTGTGACCACAAGTTAATTCAAGGAAGGAATAAATAATAATAGTTACCAATGAAGTCGTAAAGTGCCCAAGGGTATACAACATTGGATAATAACACTTCTTGGTTATGACAAACAATCTACATCTACACCTGCATCTACAAACCATTGTAAACTAGCAAATTACAAAAGACAGTACAGGAGAAAAGGACAGTCCGATGAATACCATTAGCCTAAGCGTTCATTAATAACACATTGATTCGCATAATTACTGGCGGCCTTACTGAATTATTCCAAGCAGATAATTTCTTTTTGATTGTTGTTATTGCTACGGTATTAGTTTCATGGTAAATATTAGTTTATAAACAGTAAAAGAGGGTACTCATATTGAAAATTATAGAAACTATATTTCTGAAGCAGGAATTCAGTATTTTTGAAATATTATTAACGGTAGCCTATCATATATAAATATAGAGATTTGCTAGGCCTGCAAAGTCCAGTTGCGACTACAATAAATAAATAATTGGTTGGGCTTGTACAGTTATGATTACGATACGTACGCCTTTTAATGCCTATACTGCTAGGCCTATACAGAAGTTCAGTTACAACTATTTATAATAAGTAGGTAGGCCTACCTAAGTTAAATTTAACTAAACTTGTTTAAAAGTCCAATTTTTAACTTAAGTATGGAAATAATTTTCTCTGTACAGAAATACAGACACAGTAACAATTACAAATAAGCAGAGCCTAGACAGCTTGGCCTGTACGGGAGTCCTGTTATAAATAAGTGTGATATAATATTCCGTGATATTTTTAACGTAATAAGATTAATTATTACAGCCAACAGAACAGCATGTTGGCATTTTTATGTAAGGTTGAAAATTTACTACAATCCAACAGGCTGTATATCAACACAGTGCAAGTTCAACAACTCAAATTAAATGCTATAGCCTAATATAAAAACGTCTTTTATAATTGATTTTAATAATTTTGTTATACAGTAGTTTATTATGCATATAATTTATTTAATCATGCTGTAACTCAGCAACGCTTGTTCGACGTGAGGACCAACACTCATACCAGACACGGCATGCCCATTTACTTGACCTGCCAAGATGCAGTCTTGCCTGGACCTGAAATGGCTACCCTTACTATACCAGCAAACTCTACAACACACTCACATCTGAAGTGCGTGAGCTGGACGTGAGAGCTTTTAGAGACAAACTGAAGGAGACTATTTGGTGCGCAGACCTCACTATTCGTTGACTGAGCTAGAGGACACACCACTTTTTGGCAACCCGCCGCCATCATAAGTTTTTATTATTCTTCAATTAGTTATAAGTTTGACGCAATCTATTCTGACATTGTCGGTCACCGATGCAGTATTCAAGTAAGTAAGTAATTTATCATGAGGATATTCTTCTTTAATCAAATATCAATATTAAATAATGTATAGGCCTACCGGTAATATTTAATCAATATTAAATATCAATTCTCTATCCAGTGCCGTCTTTCAAATCTAATCTATTTACTGAGTAGGCTACCTACACTACAGTAGGCCTAATTTGGCAAAAGCCTTGGGGCGGAGCTAGCGCAAACGTCACCAATAGCGTCGCAGTAACCACCATCTTTCTCAGGGTATCATCAGCTCGTGAAATTAGCCACGCCTTACTTCCTGTGGTGACCATTGACTATATGGTATTGCTATACATAGTAAAAAACTATACATAGCGGACTTCGGGCCCAAGGCAGCGTAGTCGTGGGTTCGGATCCTGGTCACTGCCATCAAAATTTATCACCTTTGTACTGTACCGGCTCACTCCTTGCTTTGCTGTTAACGTTCCTAAATCTATTGATTAAACCTAGGGATTGGCATTGACGATTGGCACATGTCAGCTAAGTTTGGCGTATCTATGTACCCACGATTGCCACTCAACAATGATAATCTAACTATGACGTTAGGCATAGTGAGGTTGTGGCTGAAGGCCATTTCTGGGAACAAAGGGACTTTCGAAAATGGAAATGCCATTAGTGGTGATGCGTGATCAAGAGATTTTAGATCGAAACATTTTGATTGTTCATACCTCTCAAGACGTTTTGATTGTAATTTTGCTTAGCGAGAGGATCTTACCGAGAGGTTAATAACGAAATATTCATGACGATTGTTTCGTTTCAGTACAGCATGAGCATATAATTTCTCTCGTATTCGTCTAAAAGAGAACCGAGAAGTCCTTACCGAGTCCTTATTAACTCATAGTGATTGTTTCGTTAATTACGTCATTGAAAATTAGCATCAAATTTCTATTGTATCTGCCGAAAGTTTACCCCCAATGAATGAGAGGTCTTTCTTACCTCAAAAACGAGGAAGGCTTATGGATATTAGGCCTACTTACTTTATCTAAGGAATAAGTTAGTGACATAAGTTGATACCACTACTAACTGTATCTTATAGTTTTAAGCGGCAATAAAAACGGCTGCACTTTAGTTTACGTACATTTACTCACATAGGTAATGCAGTTGGTTAAGGTTGGGTTTAGTTTAGGTACTTAGTTTCATTTTATTATCAGCTGGTAGTTCATGTAGGCCTATAAGGTTTAACCCTCCGAGCGTCACTTGTCGATTTTTCGACACACGAACATCGTTTACGGTGAAGGCTCCATGACTGACTGAATCGGATTGAACTGGATCGAGTTAGGTATCGTTCTTTTTGTTAGATTCAGAGCTTTCTCCGGAGGTCTGTCTCTAAGCGCTATTCATTTTAGTTCCGAAAATATTGTAGCAGACAGCTGACGTGCGTATTTGTAAACAGCTTGATTAACCTCAGACCGATGACTGATTTGTTTTATTACGTTTATCATTGTTTTAGTGTTAAAAATCAAAAGTAGTGATATAAGTGGTGCATTATAAGAAGATTTAAGTGATTTTGAAGGGCTGGTTGATGATCCTGAAGAAGTAGGTAGTGATATTGATGTAAATTATCAGCCAGATTCCTAGCTATGGTTAGGCTATGCATTCTTAGCTAAACGCTATGTACTGAAATCTGTTTTTTGCCCATAACTTATTTATTTGCAAATCTACTTCCTTATATTATTATCCTATTTGTAATCCTCATAAAATTTAGAACAAAGTGGCTAGCCTATTTTCAAATATCTATAGGCCTATAATTTATACAATTTCATTAAGTGCGAACTTATTTTTTTTTTTTGAAAATTTTCCAAAATATATTTTTTTTTACCTAAAAGTTTTTTTTTGAAACAAATGTTCCTTATGTTTTATGTATAATATTGAAGCCCATGATTTTCCAAACAAAATGGTATATAGAACAGTAGAATCAACATTGTTTTAAGCTTTTCAGATCCGTTTTAATAAAACCTTGCAAATGCGCCAAAAATAGGCGGACATTAAGGCCTAAACTATGGACACTCGGAGGGTTAATAGCAAATTTAGGACGTAAACTAAAGTGCAACCATAAAAACTATTGACAATATATTTTGTATTTAAATCTAAATGTTTAATAGTAACAGCAAGACTGAAAGTTTTGGAAATGTCATGTAAACATTATTTTGAATCTATGAGGGGCCCCGGCGGCTCTCACCAAGAGAGACCCCTCTCTTTATTCTGATTCTTCAAAGGTCTGAGCTTAAGGGTTTATAAATACACGTGGTAGGGCCTATTGCTTCAACTCGATCAATTGACCTTTTGTTTCCAACAATCTGATCGAAAGATACCTAGGAGACTAGCTTATACAAGGGTCTATTGATTTTATGACACGTCATCTCAGTGCTCTCCAATGACGTCGGAATCATGAACGTCTCATATGGCCGCTGAGAAATGGTGAACATCTTGAGCGCTGAGACATTATCTCTGTCTCCTCTGATCGCGGCGGATTCATGAACGACTCATGTGGCCACAGAGAAATGGTTAACATCCTGCGCCGCCATGTTGACATCATCACCGTCTCCCGCGGTCGTCGTACGACAGCGGCAAAATCATGAACACGGGTGAAATATATGTACCTATCAAGAAAAAAATATTTGAGGCCCCAAGTAAGGGAAATACGGCTCAGTTAATACAATTAAGATTACCTACTTAAAATTATTGCCTATTTCTGCTGACATGACGGAGTGACATGTTTATTCAAATATCAACAGTACCTATGTTGTACATAATTGTCTGCTAAGCTATTTAATAATAAATTTTGAAAAATAATATTGATATCCTCGTAACAGCTCTAATGCAATGTAAGTCAGACAGTTGTAGAGGTGGGAACGAAGTACTGGAATCGTTACTTTGTAATCGTTACATGGTTGGTGCCAAAGTAATCGTTACTCAAATATCAGAGTACCGGTTCCAAATACTTCGTTACAGTAGCAATTCGATGTGCCTGGAATCGTTTAGAGAAGGTGATTCCATGCCTTTTCGATTCCGTAAATGAGTCCAGCTACCAGCTTGCTTGACAAGCGAGATAACCCCATTCCCCAGTCCAGTCCAACACTTTATAAATATTGAATTGAAGTTGATCCCAAAGAGCTTCGCTTCGCTCCGCTTAACCCTTTGAGTGCCAACGTCCGGGGAACCGGACGTTTTTAAAACGAGCCAAAAGTGCCGACGTCCGGCTGAACGGACGTTTTTAGAACGAGCCAAAAGTGCCAACGTCCGGCTGACCGGACGTTTCGTAGGCCTAATGATCGAACAGTTGTCATAACAACCGAATGGATACTCGGATTCTTTTAACCCATATATTAACATTGAGTCGAAAGTTACTAGATGCGACACATCGATTTTCGTTGGTCGAAATATCGAAAATTCGATTTTTACGAAATTTTAACCTAAAAATCGCCAGATTGCGCTCGGCATTTTTAGCGCGACCTTCGGGAAAAATCATTGGCATTTTTTGAGCGTTACTTTTATTTCTCGCCTGGCACTCTAAGGGTTAACTAACTCCGCCGCCGCCTCGCACCCGTGGGTAAACAGTTGATGTTTTTGAATGCGAAATCCAAATCAGTTTATCGGATTAAATTAATCCACTATGATTTGAAAATAATGTTAGTTAAAATTGTGTTGATTACAATGTGCAAAAACATATCCCGTAGTTTAGCTTATTCTAAACCTTCCTTAGAATGATTCAATTGTTACAAATTACTAGAGTAATTGATTTTATAAATTTGTGTAATAATATACAAATTTAAATTAATGATAGATTAGATAATTGATTAATGATTAATAATTCATGAATCCTATATTTTGGCAACTCATTTAAATTTGTATTTATTGCGATACAAACACAAACAAATATTTATTTGGCTTCAGTAAACTTTGATTCAAAAGGCATTACTGTAACTGGAATACATCAGAGTATCAATTCCATGACGATTACGAGTGCAATCGGTCGATTGCGGCCACTCTGTAACGGCGGTAACAACGTAATCGTTTGGAATCGGAACAGTTACTTGTAATGAGTCCACGAGTGTAGCTGGAATAATTGTAGCGGCTACATAGATGGAATCATTTAGCCCATCTCTAGACAGTTGCAGACGCCAGACAGACAGACGTTTTGGCTTAAGTAACGAATGCAACAATCAAGAGAAACATCTCGTTTGTACAAACCTCTCACTAAGTAATCAATAAGCAGAACATCTTGAGACGGCACATTTCGTCAAAACATATCGCAACGCATCACTAACGCCTAGGCCTAACCTATAACTTAGGAAGAGGCCTCATTGCCTTGAGAAAAAGTTAAACAACAAAATATGGTAAAAATTACTGCATGCTTACATCATAAGCATACTAGCCATCAGAGCACTTGGACGAAAAATACTTTTAATCAAAAATAGCAGCACATAAATTGAGGCTGCCACGTGCTATGGGTTGCTGATACCTAACCTAACACAGTTGACAAAACAATAAACATCTGTAAAATACTTACGGTAACGGCAACGTCGTCGTCGATGAGGACCAGAGCGCTGTAAACGCAGGCTAATTCAGCTTTTGAAGACATGGTGAATAGTTAAATGAAATTTGTGCAAGTCGCCAAATGGCCTTAGCTCAACAGAGAACAAGCACCGTGAAAAGATGACGGAGCGTGACAAGAGAGAGACAGAGAACAACTGTCCGGGAGAGGGGGAAGGAAGTAGTAGGAAAAATAAGAATTGCACAAAATGTGGTTCGTAGAGTATAAAAGTTTTAATTAAAATACAACTATATTCATACTATAACAATCTCTAATTCTCTTTGCAATATCCCTATGAGGTATGAACAAAAGTCTTAAGGAGCTGATGATAAAGACTGATAAAGCTGATTTTCATGCGGTAGCCATGTTTTCCATCATCCCTGGAAGTCATTTTTAACTTGTATATATGCATATATATTGATTTTTATATCTAACGGTTTTACACGTTGTGGACTTATTTTTCTTTTGTGCGTGTAAAAAAAATGTTTTATTTTTTTGTCGAGACGCAATCTATCCCTTTTTTGGGTAAAAGATGAAGAAGGAGTAAGTAAGTAAGTAAAGATGATAAACCTACCATTTGATAACGGTATTCAATGTTCATTTTCTTAAATTTTTGCTGCACAATACATTGTCTTTAGATAGTAAGTAACAGACCCATATATTTATATATATATATATAAAGATTATTAATAAACTCAGTTTCCAAAATAAAAATATATATAATATATTAATAAATAATATATAATATATTATATTATATATATATATTTTTTTTTTATTTTGGAAACTGAGTTTATTAATAATCTTTGCCTATTAGACACAGTAAAAAAACTTAAATTTATGATATAAATAATATGTAACTTAGATTAATAACGTTGTCCATATAAATGATTTTGAATGATTTTACATGATTCTTTTAACACTTTTATGACTATTTCATTTTTTAATTTTGATGGAAGATTATATTTTTTAAAAAATTCTTCAAAAAAAATTTTGTAATAGTCCCTCTTGCACCAATCATTATGCCAATTACTGATATAGAATTTAGATTATATTTTTTCTTTAAATAAGTTTCACATTTACTATAAATTTTACTTTTTTCTTCATCTCTACTTCTAGGGGATGATTTGTTGATGTTTCGAACCTTACAGTTGGATCAATTACAATTCCACTTTTAGATTTTGTATCATATATTAATTAAAATGTCCAATCTTCTGTTCGATCCACCATCTTCAATGCAATGTAATTCTTCTACTACTTGCCAGCCTTTTTTCCGTAGTTCTTCTGATATCATTGCTCTTACAGTATGTCTTGCATTACGCAGTAAGGCACCAAAGGGACAAGAGCCAAGGACATGCGGAAGGGTTTCAGGCTCCTTGCAATGTCTGCAAAGGGTTCCATCCTGGTTTCGCCCTGGTAGTACTGGTACAACACTAGATATCATTTTTAATTAAGAGATCCATTCTCCTGTAGTAAGGCCATTTTTTAAATATATCCATGTGTTGCTACTAGGCACTTCTTTGAATAATTCTATTCCTCTACCTTTACATGGTAATTTAGACCAAAGTTCAAATTCTTTCAACTGTTATTTTGATCTCAAATTAAAACCAATTCTTTTTTCTCTTTAAATTCAAAATCATTTGTAAAAATATCATCAATTTCTATTTGAAGTTTTTGAAGTGACATGGACTACCGGTATTCAAAATGTGTTTTATTCTATAACGTTTCGTTAAATTTAACATAACAATCACGCTCCTTCCATTTTTAAAAGTATTCAGTCCAAAAATGTAATAAATTTGCTTGCGCGTATGCCTACATAGTTAATTTAGTGATGGTAATTAATTGAGGTGATGTAATACACTTATGTAGGCAGTCGCAGCAGTCGATGTGTGGTGTGCTCTTTTTTTCTCTGCATGGAGAGTTTCAGGAATTTAATTCTTTATATTGGTAAGAAACCTTGTACCATTGTCTTATTTTAGTTTTTATTTTAGCTGTAGTTGTACAGTACTGACGTTTTCCAGTAATGTAACTGCATTTCTTGGAAATAAAAATTCTTGATTCTTGATGCCGGACATAGCGCCTAGAGTTTCACGAACGTAAACCGCGCAACGTGTAGCTAAATGAGCTGTAGTGTAAGTGAGCCATCTAATATTTTACCGCAGGCTCGAGGCTCATAGTCACTATGATCTGAAGAGTAAGTGAACCTTCCTACCGTATTTTTAAATATAAGACACGGGGCTTATAGGCACTATGATCTGTAGAGTAAGTGAACCATCTTCATTTATTTTATATTTTCGATGTAGCGCAAGTGAACCTTCTATTATATACTATTATAATATTATTTACAAAGCTAATATAGACTATGATCTGTAGAGTAAGTGAGCTGTCTGCTGTCAAAAACCAACCGTCCGCGAGATAGATTGAAATACCCCCGCCGCAGCAAACCTGCAGACTAAGCGAATTTCCATTAACCTGATTGGTTTACACTAAAATGCCTTCATAAAAATAGCACATTTATTTCCTATTTAAATAGAATTAGTTTAACGAGTACTTAGGTTTGCTGCAACAGGGAGGGTAAAAAAGATTTTTTTTTATAAAATGATAATAGTTTAGTAAGAAATAAAAGTATTTTCCAAGATCAATCAAAATATGTCCATTAACAAGCAAACTACAACAGTTTACTAGTTCTCCATAAGAATAACATGGGAATTTTAAAATTAAAATTTTTTTGAATTTTCTCCGTAACAATTAGGTGCATAATAACACTTCAATATACTAAATTATTTGTTTTTTAAGCTCTACAAAATGGTTTAAAAAGAAATTGTGAAATTTTGTGTATTAAGGGTCAAAAATGGGAAAAACCTATTTTTACCCCATAAAACCCCCCATAAACCCCCGTTCCCATAGTCCGATCATGCTGGTTCGCGAACTCATTCAAGTTTATCCTGCCTTACACCTTCAAACCAAATTTTATCAAAATCGGACAAAAATTACTCAAGTTATCGTGCGGATGGAACGATATATATACATATATATATATATGTATATATATACATATATATATATGTATATATATATATATATATATATATATATATATATATATATATATATATATGTATACATATATTGAATAAATATATCGTTCACTATTGAGGGCTACTATTATTATTACTAAATGAAATAAATAATTAAACATTTAGTACCCTTTTCTTATATATAGATATATAAAAATTTGAACGAATGGTGTTTTTGGCCTCTGGGGACATCAAAATGAAAAAGTAAATCGGTCCCGGGCTTAGGTCTTACCATGAGACCTACGGTAATAGCTACTTCCCTATAGGGAAATTCGCTAAAACCAAAGGAATGGTCAAATTTATGATACTCCGTTAACAAGTGGCGTGCCCTACGGCCTTGGTACCTCGAGGTGGATAACTCGGATTTTATGTTATGGGCCCAACAAACAACATATCCAAAAATCAAAACTACCTGATCTTTTGTACAGCAATTCTCTTGACATTTTTACTTGACTATAAATATAAAAATGCAAGTGAATGTTCTACACCTGTTTTGATATAGTATATAATGGACAATTTTTTATGTTTCGTGTTGTTGGCTAAACTGAATATGAACGGCTGTTTCACCGAAACGGCACACGGAAGATTTCTCAGGTGCCGTTTGACGTCACTAACTGCTGACTTCACTTTGAGGGAACACCAATACCGCAACGATACGGTATTGAGCCATCGGCCTCGGTGGTGCAGTGGATAGCGTTACGGGCTGAGAATCCGAATGTTCCGGGTTCAAATCCTGCCGGCGGCATCAACTTTTTATCAACAATTTTTTCATATCAGCAAGTTTGGTTGGTTTGGTTAGGTTATGATAGTTTAATTTTATAATTAAAAAATTATAAAACTGAATTTTAGGCAATTATAATTTTATTTTATGAACAAAACTATTTGTTGGATTAGTAAACCTTTAATCGATTTTTCCATTATCAGCACGTTTGGTTAGTTTGGTTAGGTTATGACAGTTTAATTTAATAATAGAAAATTATAAAATTGTCTGTTTCTTCAGACGCAGCAGTTAGTGACGTCAGCAGTTAGTGACGTCAAACGGCACCTGAGAAATCTTCCGTGTGCCCCACCGCTGTTTCACTTGCTTTGCTCTGTTGCTCTGTAAAGAAAGAAGAAGAAGAAAGGAAAGGAAAGGAAGGTGTGTCTCTCCATCTCCATCACTGATTTATTTATTTACTGTTTACTACTTCAGAAATAGTTCTCTATTTTTCATTAAATTCGTAGCAAGCAATACATATATTGCTGTAATTCTTACGTGATTAAATTACTTATTTTCACTTTGATGACAGTTTTATAGAGAACAATATGTCTCTCAAAACAAATCAGGATTATCATCGAGCATCAAGTAAGTAGCCTAGAATTTGTTTTAATTTAGTCAATAACTCAACGAACACTAGGAATAATATTTGTCTAGTACTTTAAAATCTTAAGCCGCTTTTATACTGGAAATAAAACCTTGTATATAGGCCTAAACATTGTTTTTGGAACTTTACTTTATAAACGTTGGTTAGTGCCTAAAAAACAATAAGTTTTAACACTTCAATATAGGCCTAACTTAGGCTGTGTTACGAAATTATTTGTTTCTTTAGCTCTACATAATGGTTTATAAATTGCAAAATTATATATTTTTAGGGTCAAAAATAAGAAAAACCATCAGTTTTCAAGAACCTTTATTGTAATTTAGCCTAACTTAGGCCTTAAATTAACCACGCAAATAATTTATGGTGCTTTTTCAGATGGTCTTGTGGCTGGAGGAACATTAGCCTATGTGGGAGCTATTTTCCTGTTGATCTCATTCATAAGGTAGGTTCACCTTTTCACCTTTTACCTTGGTCATCTCACTGTAGTCGTAGAGACTAGGGAATCATCATCTTTTTCAGTGTAGGCTAGTATTTTTCATTAGTGTATGTTCTACTATAGCCTAACTCCAATTCATGTGTCATTTTGGATAGTGTAAGTTAATTGACTGTGTATTATAGGCTGTAAGTTAAGCACAGTAAGTTGGGGCTCGCTAATCCAGTATGTTTGAGACTTATGATACTGAATTAAGTTAAGATATGCCAAATGATTGAACATGTTCTAAAACAGCTGTTATTCTAAGATTAGCGCAAAATGATGTGATTGACCACCAAACTTATTTTTTAGGTAAATATTCACTTTCCCCCATCTCACCTAAAACGTTCTATAAGACGTGTTTAAACTGTTCCTAGACACCAACACTACAACTTTCTTAAATGACCTTTTTGTTGTCGAGGCTTCCTGTAGAAAACACACCTGAAAAACTTGCTTTAACATCGTTACAGGGCAGTTTCCTATACTAGACACCACGCCCAGATTACTGCCGTGTGCCTAGTAATCTTGGTAATGGTGTCTAGTAACCTGGGGGTGTCTAGTACCAGAGAGATGTCTAGTATAGGAAACTGCCCTGTCAAGAAAGCGAGTATTTCAGGCGTGGTGTCTACAGGAAGTCTCGGCAACAAAAAAGTCATCTGAGAAAGTTGTTTGTTGGTGTCTAGGAACAGTTTAAACACGTCTTATAGGACGTTTTAGGTGAGATGGGGAAAGTGAATAGTAACCTACTCATATATTGCACATAAAGGCCTAGGTACTTTTAGGCCTACCAGATTTTTCTCTCCAACTCTGACTCATCTTGAATGGGTCCATGAAGCCTACTTCGACAGTCAATAACGGTGTATTGTCCTTAAGGTTTGACCGTTGACCAATTTTCAGTAGGTATTAAATGTTGACCTATATGGCAACTTAGTTGTCTCATTGCTGTGTGTACAACGTTCTGCATTGTGTAAACAACATACAAGCTATGGTATAAACTTTGATATGATTAATTGGATTGATAAGTTATTGGCTGAGACTAGAGATGTGGGCCGGGTAAATACCCAGTGGGTAGGTAAATATAAATTGGGTTTTTACCCGGGTATTTACCCCAGGCCCGGGTAAATACCCAAAAACTGGGTATTTATAATTTTTATTAAAGTTAGAGAAGATTTAGATGTTTTTTTGCAATTATTACCTTGTAAGGATAGTAAAATGATGATAAAATGTGTTAAACAAAATTTCATATGGTCACTACTGGCATTTTACTTCTGGGAAAATCGGCATAAATACCCTGGTCGCATGGTTGCACTGGTCCTGACATGATTTTTTAATTTCTATGATAGATAGATGAATTTATTTTATTGAAAGTGAAAAAAAAAATTTGCAAAGTAATTAATTATTATTTAGAAAGACAGGAAAATTTAACCTAGTAGTGGCCTATGTGTAAACAACTTAAGAAAATAATTTTAAAATTCAATCTGTAGGATGGCAGGATTTAATAATATTTTTGTTTCCAGATCTTTTGTTGGTATCAATGGTATAAAAAAAAATAAAAAATAATAATTTCATAAACTTGTGATACAAAACATTTGAATCTATAGCACAATAAATCTTTCAATATTATATCGACCAAAAAACAGGAGATACGTTTCTTTAGTAGGTTTATCCAAATATATTATTGTTTCCAACTAAGCGGTAACACAGAAAAGTTTAATTACTTAAAAGTATTTTATCATTCTGCCTAATGTCAATCAGGCCTTAGGTCTGCCTAGCCTTCCAAACCATTTATACAATAAAAATTTTGCATCATAAGTACCCAACAATTCCTGGATATTTATAAATTAAAATAATTTTGTTTATGTTATTTAATTGGTTATAAATTTATGAAATAATAAAAATTGAAATAGCCACAGCCTTTTTTAATATATACTATTTTTTAGTGAGTTAAATTTAACTGATGTTACTTGATTTAAGACACGAAACCCCATGCTTATTTACCCAAAATACCCGGGTATTTATGGATTTTGGGTATTTACCCGGGTAAATACCCAGGGTATTTACCCCGAGTTTTAAATACCTGGGTATTTTACATCACTAGCTGAGACCAGAGTCGTCCACTACAAATGACATGTTAGAGCTGGGATAGTAAATCTAGTATATTTATAGGTCTACATGGAGCTCTTTGCCAGGCCACTATCTCACATTTTGTTCAGCGTCCATTCTAGTTAGTGCAACTGATGTCTGCTGTTTGCGTTTTACATCTACATGACTTCTGCTGACCCTGCTGAAATCTCTAAAATGACTAAACACATTAAAAGACCATGACCAATGCAGGTGTTAAGTGCCGTTCCATCGTAGGCCTGATGTACCAGTTTTTATATTATAGTTCGGCCGCTTAGAAAACGACCTGCGCGCTAATACATTAGTCTAATACATTAGTACACAATACATACGAAGTGAAAGCGTTCGTAGTGCACATGTCTAGGGAGTTGAAGACTAGGCCCCTTTACTCCATCAGGGAATTTTTCGAAACCCCTGACTCAGTTTGGACATCATGATCCACCGCCTTGTTTAGTGTATATAGTGTATATAGACAAAGTTTTAATTTTTCATTTGACGCAATCTATCCAGCTATGGCTGGGCAACGATGAAAAACCGGTAAAGGTAAAGGTAATGTTGATGTAATTATTAGGATAGTACTGCGGGTAGTCGTAGTACTCACTAGCACGGACGTTAATCCACACCAGGGAGCATTGCATCCACAGTGCATCCCTATAAATATCCACAATTCGTGGCCTCCTAGTAGCTGGATTACAGGACGACGCCACACTTCCTAGATCTTAGATGAGATTACAAGTTCAATATAGAAAAATGGTCTAATGAATCCGTTAAACACTCAAATATTGAATTGGTTGTAATTGTGTCAAGACTAAATTATGCTAGTTCAATCAATCACTCAATTAATCAATCTTTATTTTAACAAGTAATAATGCAGCATTACATATAGAATAGGTACAAAAATTATCACATGGGCTGCTGCCTGTGCGTGATAAGAGTTGCACAGTGGCTTTTTAATGGTTATCTTGATACTATTTTCACACATAAAAAAAAATTACACTTCTTAGTCTAATATAAATTAAATACATCTTTCAGGCAGGTTGAGAGAAGAAAATGTAATGGGGACTGCGGGTTTGGACAGTAATCAAATAGACCCAGTTTCTTTTGTCAGTAAATGTTAAGTATTAAGAGCTTTGTACTACAGTAGACTCCCTCTAGTTCGGCTTCGGTTGGATCGGCCGCCGGATGGTCCGGCCCGGTCTCAGGGGGACAAGTCATATGTCACGAGCGAATGACCTTCGACAGGATTGAATTTTAATGTTTTTTAGTTTCCGGCCATAGAAGTAAACAATTCATGTAAGTTTAGTTTACGGGTGCTTCTATGGGTGAATTGTTGCATATTACAGATATTACCTATGCAAAACTATGTTACATAACCTCAAAAATACCAAGAACATTTTTTACAAATAATTTTTCTTCGGTCTAATATGTTGAAATGCAGTGTATAATTAAATATTTCGGACCACTTTTTTATGCAGTAGGCTCCCCCATTAGGCTATTGTTTTTTAAACACCACGGTTTATTTGACAAAAATAAATTAAAACAAAACAAAGAAATAGCCATTGTTAGCTTCAAGGTCAAGCTACTGACAATCATCTGCTCACACAAACTGATGTCTGCTGTGCACTTGCTCGCTATCTCACAACAGTTTGTGATTGGGTGATTAGTAACCATGGCAACTTGTTGAATGTGTGGATGAAGAGAAACCAAAGAGGCAAAGAAAGAATAGAAGAACAAAGAAGATAGAAAAAGCGGTGTTTTACGTCATCCATTGTTATCTTTATCCTATTTTACGACTGTCCTTATTATTTTTAAGACTAAGTACTATGATTTTATGCTGTTTTATGAACTGTCTAATGTTTTTATCGACATTCTTATGTTCTGAAACAACATTTAGTACCTAGTAGCCTATGCTGACTACGGTAGCTTTCAGTACTAGACTTTCTATTGTTCTGTTCTTTACGTGATTTATTGCTGTACGTACAGTGTTGTGTAATTTTTGTTTTGATTGGGTAAGCGTGGTTTTAAACGTTTCAGTTTTTATTATTGAACCAAGGTTATTGACTTAACATATCACGATTGCGCAATACTATCATCTGTATTTTGATTATGTAAAATGCACTAAATCCGGTTAGTCCGGCCGTTTTGTAGTTCGGCCAGTGGTCCGGTCCCGAGCTGGCCGAACTAGAGGGAGTCTACTGTATTTCTGATGAAATGCTTGTGAGTTACACAGTTTTACCTGATAGTTACTTCAAATGGCAGTTATTTCTATTTTTGTTTTCCTTTCAATGATAAGAGCCTTAAAATAAGAAAAAAACCTTTTGTGCAGTCCGTTCTGGGTACAGTCCTATGAGGAGACCTCAAGTAACTTCAAGCATATGGGGCTGTGGCAGTATTGCTTCGACCAGTTCCGCTACCCCTATCATCAGTTTGACAAGATGTTTGACGGATGCCACTACATCTACAGTGACGAGTATTACGTGATCAGAGAGTGGTTATTGCCAGGTATGTTTCTGTGGTTATTACGTTTTTACATTTTTTATTTTAATGTTAAAATACTGAAAAGTTATTGCAAGGAAGGGGGGGCATTTCCCAAGTCAGCATGACTTTGTGTACAAGAGTCTTAGCTTCATTAAAATTGTTATCTCTCACTCTGTGTAACATCTTGGTATCATTAATTTCCTATTTTGTTGGAGAGAAAATGTTTAATAGGTTGCTTAATACTTTATTACTTTAAATTTAAAGGGCGACCATACGAAGGTAGCTGTATTTTAGGCCAAGTAGAATGGAGATGAGTGTAGGATGAGTGGCGCGATCTTTAGTTAAGGCCTAAGAAAAAAAATGCTATCTTAAACTTTTTAGTCCTAAACGCTGTGAAATATATATTTGTCAAGTGTAGGCATAGAGTTATGTATGGTAGGCCTACATGGTATGGTAACTTAATCAATTATGGTAAAAGGTTTTTTTGCACCTGACTAAATCCCCCTGAAGCCAAATATTGTGTGCTTTGTGTCTTTATTGTTTACTATGGCAAATCTGGACTTTTTGGCACGTAAGCCTATGCTACCTGATCTCCACTCTTTTTGTAGAAATCATTTTCACTTAGGCTCAATGTATAACAGTTGGCTAACCTAATTTCACTGATAATAACAAAAGTATAGCTAAGTTCAAAAGTAGAACACTTCTAGAGGTTATTTTTTTATTTTTTAAATCAATTTTAATCTGAAAAAACCTAACCTCAGGATAGAATGAGTAACAAATAGTAATAATAATATAAATTTCAAATTCTATAGTCCATTTACAAAATTTAGGCGGTTTAAGGGATAGATTTCCTTTGTTGCCCCACCACTTTCTTTAGCTTGATATACACAAGCTGATCAGCTTTTTGGTGTTTTTCAAAGTTCCCCTCAACCTTCTTAAATATATGTGAATGGAATATTTAATAATAACACTTAGCACTATAATTTTTTCCAGTATGCTAAAAGAAGTTTTACATTATGTTCAATGTTTCCAGGTTGGTTGCTGGCTATCCAGGCCTGGATGACCTTATCATTCCTACTGACGTTCGGCTCCCTGATCATCATCGCACTGATTGTCGTACGATACCCTCTCAGGTTCATACTGCACTACGAGTGGCTGCTGACAGCCATAGCCTTCCTGTGCATAGCTGTGTCTTGTAAGTGGTCACGACTCTTAGTTACCAATTCTCTAGAGAATATAGGCCTAATCGATAACTTGCTTCAATTTGGTTAAAGGAGGTAGTAGAATCCGTCATAGTAGGTTCACATGTTTGTAAAACCGATTGAGAATTTATCGGTGCGTAAAAGTGTTGATTTAATTTATTATTTTAAATGTGGTTTTCACTCGGCTTGCCTTCTCCAAGAGGCAAAATCAGAACCGATCTCACTTGCTGATATAAAAATATTGGGTGTTCCAAAAAGAATGGATCAAATGTAAACTGGAATTAAAACTTTATCATGAGAGATAAATAGTTAACTATATAGGCCTATAATTTTTCTCCTTATCTTCCTAAGTTCATCCTACCTTGGTTTCACCGCCTAACCTCTCTCTATATGGTCTTTGTAATTTGCTTGAATAAAAGTCAATTTGGGGTTCTAGCACTAACCACACAATGTGACGCATCTCAATTTTCTAAAGATTTCTCTGATCTTTTCTTAAAGTTCATGTTTGAGATCGATGAGCAATAGGTACACTTGATCTTTCACAAACTCCCAGACAAAAAATCCCACCTTCGTTAAACTATAAACCATTTAAAGCACCGTGCTTTCAACTGCCCCTCCAAATTGCAACTTAATGTTTTGAAAATTAAAATATGCTAATAACAATGCAACAGCTGATTACTGGTGAAGGGTAGGCCTACTTAAAAAAAAATTAAGACATCAGCTTTATCGTTGGAGATTATACAGCACGCAAAAGTAAAAAATAAAAATAGGTTGGATGGTTGTAACTATTCATTTTAGAGCACCAAAAATAGATTGCTAGGAAATTTCAGGAGATTGATTTAAGGTCTGGAAAGATCACTCAGTCCTCACCTAGAAACTGTGTTCGTTAACACTAACTTTGTATCCCACTAGATTATTTCAAGGAAAGGCTCTAGGCCAGGATTTTTAATTGTAGGACAAAGAAAGATGATAGCAGCTATCTGTACGTACGGGTAGGCCATAGAACAAACAGAAACCACACAATATTTTGTTCATGTGAACTTTCTTTCTCTAGACTTGACAAAGTCCCCCCGTGGGATAAAATATTGTTTGTTATATAGCCCACCTGTACTTTTTATAAGGTAAGCTAGCCTGCTATTCTCTTTATTCTACAATTAAAATTCCTGTGCCACTAGTTTAATGACTGTGTTTTGTTACAGCGTTTCTGATGTTCATCTCGGTGTGGTTGTTTTGGACTCAGTCCTCTCGCAGGGACTGGCTTATGTACCCCAACTTCAACCATCTCTCCTACTCCTACTACTTTGGAGTGTTCTCTTTCTTTGTTCAGACTTATTCAGCATACATTCTTTACTACGTAAGTATACCTTGTGGCTTTGGACATTTAAGTATCGTTGATTTAAGTATCAGTGTAGACAAAAAGAATTTAATATATACCGTCAGCTGTGCTGCGGTTACCAGATTCTGGCGCACACCGCTTGGAGCGCCATTTAGTTACTGCATATGCGCTACGTAAACTACTGTGGTGTGCGCCGGAACCTATGGTAACCATGCAGGCCCGTTTTTGACAATGTCAGCGCCCTAGGCACAACTAATAGTAGCGTCCCTTTGAAATATACTGGGTGTCCCGTAAGTAAACAGCCAAACTCCAGGAAATGGTTCTATGGGTAATAAAAGAGAAAATCAAGAATAACAGTTTTTCCGAAATGGCTTCGTGAACCAGATATTCGCCATTTTCTTTTTTTCACATAAAATTGTTATCTTTAAAGTTTTTCAAGTGATCATTATGAAACTTGGTATGTACGTTAAGGTAACAGACACCCATGTTAGAAAAAATCAATTTTGATTCATCATAAAACTTAAAAATGGAGGCCATTTAAATTTTTTAAGCTTAAATTAAAAAAAAAATGACATATTTTACGAAAAAACGATGAGAACATTTTGATTGAACGATGAGACAATAGTAATGTCCACAGGACTGAGGGAAAAAATCAGAATTTGGCCTCATTCGCGGTAGACGACAAAAATCTCCTCACAACCGCGGGATATGTTCATATATTGCCGCGATCATGGAAGACAATAATTATGTCTACACGACCGTGGGAAATAGCCTATTTAGAATTTGCCGTGATCGCAGAAAACGATAATGATGTCAACACGGCCACGAGGGATTATCAGAGGTTTACCGCAATTACATGTAAATACAATTACCAAATAATTTTTTTATTTTTCCATTTTTGGCGCCCCTCAAAAAAGCTAATTGCCTTGCGCCCTAGGCACGTGCCTACCGTGCCTATTCGGTAAATCGGCCCTGTAACCATGGTAACCTCAGCACGGCTGACAGTCTATATTTAATTCTTGTTGTCTATCTTATCAGGCATCGTTTTGGTGTTTGTATGTTAAGAATTAGTTTTACGGCCTTAATCAAATTTAACATTGTTTTATCTCATTAACAGTGTTATACGTGGGAGAGTTATGTGGCTATTTACTGTCATAAAAATATATTTTTTTGTAATTTTACTTTATTTCCGGCTGTTGTGAACAATTTGCTTATCTGATTAGGGTCTGCTCTGGTCCTGATTGGCAGAACTCTAGTGTAAAGTACAGTATTTACGTTCTGTATTGTTAACAATTTTCAGTGCATTAAGGTCAGTAGTTAATGAAAGCAGAAGTTCTTTTAGATTGGGGGTAGAAAATAGTTACATTGGCAAGTAGAAGTAGTAACCGTTGCTTATTCCTATTTGAGTAAAGATTTGGTGTCCAATTTAGTTTTTGGTTCTGTCAAAAATTAACTAGGTGTTTCAAATGCCAATATTTTGCAATCAAGTTCGTGAATTCAAACAAAACTTGGGCCAGTTTTACTAAAAAAAGTTTGTTTAACCTAGTCTTGTCGGAAAATTTGTTTGTACATCAAAAGTAACAGATTGTAATTTATTTTTGTCAAATGAGTAACAATTTGTATTGCTGATGAATGTAGAGTGAATGTTCATAAGAGAGTGAATTTGCAATGTTTAAGGATGCGCGCCGAGCTTACGACCTTCGCCGTGAGAGCAAGAACCTCGTGATGCAGATGTACGACACCAACTCCCGTAACGGCTTTGTGTGATTGCCACTTTAGCAAAGCGGTAGTTACGGCCTCAGACGACGTAACTGAAATAAACCTAACCTAAGCAATCACTGAATCAAAACATAGCTATAGACTCGTTAGTGTCTTTAGAACACAATTTATTTTTGAAAAAAATATATTCAGAGGTAATTTTCCCAATAGAAATTTTTTACAGGTTTGTAGTAAAAGTTATTGCAGTTTTGGATACTTTTATCATAAAATCTTAGCCAGGTACATGATTTTTTTAATCTAAAGATGATATTTTAAAATTTGTATTTTTAACCTTGTGTAAATAGGCCTTCTTTTAAGTAGACTACTATCAGTTTTACTCAAAGTTTAAATATTTAATAACTCAGAATGGTATTAACATTATACTATAATATAATATTTGTTTACTACACCAAATAAAAAAAATATATTAGAAAACTAAATTTTTTAAGTAAAAAAAATGTTTTTTAGACTTTGTGAAAGAGATATGACTATTTTTATCGTGTGGCCGATTTTTATCCTGATTTCTCTTTCTGTTTTTATACTGATTGGTTACCTATATAGAATGGTCCATAATATAACTGATGTTAAGCAGAATTTTTTTAAAGTTTTTTGATTCATTAGCTTTGGTATATTTTTATGTTACAATTAGTGATGAACATAACAATTTAAAATGCATTGATCCAATGGTATTATTAGTTGGAAGTAAGTATATAGTTTAGGCTTATTTTTATGGCAATTACTTAACTGTAAATGATTCCATCCACTTTTTTTATTTTTTTTTATGAGTGTACAACCTGAAAGTGTGCCTATTTGTGTATGTTTGTATGGTTATATATATTGCGTTTTGAAAACCTAACTATTAAGTTGAAATTAGTATTTGATCTTTTACAAATTTTAATACTGTAATGTGTGTTGCTTTTATATATTTTATATAATAGATTTAGTTATATTTTTTGTAAAATAGCAATAATTTTTATTTTACCAATCGTAGAGCGATGCAATATACAAAATATTTTAGTCCAGTTTGATTGAATTTATTATATTATTTATTTTTATCGTTTAGGGGTTTGCTGAAAATATTTAATTAACAAGATCTATGGTTACGTGCAAATCTTTTATTTTAGAAAAAGAATCTCATTTAGTTTACAAGTTGAGTGTATTTTATTTTAATTGATATTTTAATATATATTTATTTATATTAGATCTGTAAAAGTAAACTTTTTTTCATAAAGAGTTCTAACAGGCTGCTAGTTAAAAACAGATAAAATATTTTAAATATCTTCCTTTTTTTCATCATACGATTTCTAATCAACCAAAAACCTTTCTTGAAACACTATGCCTTACTGCTTTTTATGTATTGATAGTTAAATGATGTTTTTAGTGTTAACCCCAAAAAGAGTAAATATAAGAATTGAACCGAGGAAAAGAAAGTTTGTTTTTGAAGGAATGTAAGACTTGATAAAAATGCAAGTGCCCTTCACAGGATTAGTATTCTAATAGCTTATGATCACTTTATTCCGTTTTACTTATAGGTAATTGAGTTTACTTCTTTTTAGGGAACTCGATTACAAATCAAAATTTTCTGTAGTTACGTTATCCATATTGCTAACTATAGCAACACTGTTTACCCCTGTACAAATGTCGCCTTGTTGTTTACTATATTCTATATATTGTTGGTATACTGTAGTTTTTACTGTAACGTGAAAAGTCTTTACCAACCCGGCCTTAAACAAACTTATTCCTAACTTGTGATCAAATCTTGTTAATTTATCTTTTATTTGTTATAATTTTTCTATGCAATGTAACTTTAGCATTCTTCTTTCATATATTTTATTGCAAAAAATACATTTTTTAGCAATAAGTAACAATTTGGCATATTTTATGTAGGATTTTGTTAACTTATTTTACTTTAGGTACGTTAAAGTTAGGTTATCAGTATTTTTCAAACTGTTATTCAAAACACAATAACTTGTGTTATACTTTTTTTGAGTTCACCGAATATTTTATAGTATTTAAAAATTCGACATATGCAGTCAATATTACTACTGCTGTATTTGTTTATCCGTAGTGTTTTTAGTTTGTAAATTTCATTTCATATCTAACATGAGATGTACCTAGATATTCAAAACTCATGCACCATTCCATCCTTATAGAGACTGGTATTTTAACGTTGTTGAAGCTTTTTAAACTGTCTTATGTAGCACAATCGTAATATATTTTTAAGCTTAGCATAAATAAATTTTTTTCAGAAATTAACCAAAAATTGTACTTTGTTTTCTATATCCACCCAAATTGTGTTTACACTAAATTAATCCATACATTTAAAATTTAGTTTTCTAACTCTAAAACTAAAACAATCAGAAATAAATTAAGTTTAAACAAATTTGCCATATAGGGAATAAGCTGTAGGTCTCATTGTAAGACCTGGCCCCGGGACCGATTTACTTTTTCTTTTTGATGTACCCAGAGGCAAAAAACTATATCTGTTCAAATTCATTTGTATATATGTATGTCCCTTAGCACGATAACTATAATTTAATGTGCAGATACAATTCTCAGAATTTACCCCAGTAATCAAAATTTGAACACAATTGTATGCAACGATGGGTTCATGGTTTTCTTTTGTATAAAATTTCAACTTGGTCGGCTTAATGGTTTGTTCTCTTTAAAACAAACAGACACATAAATCACCTCTTCATAACATAACAGATAGACTCAAGTTAAACTGGGTGTATTATTCAGCAAATTGTTGATGAATAGGAGTTTGAGTCAAAAGAATATGAATAATCGAAATAAAACAATTGTACTATTTCCTGCTCAATTAACCTCAGAACAATATCCAATCTGAATGTATCAGCCAATCTGAGCTGTGATGTCGTTGTCAATTGAGAATCAATTTAGTTTGCAATATTCCAGTACAGACCAATAACTTGATAGAGTATCATTCGGCAAACTACCTGTCAGTAGCTTGATTGGTGGGAATAACATTGTGTCAATTGCGTACTGATGGAATATTGTTATTGCATACATCTCGTGGTACTAATAGGCACTTCATACTTTCTTGAATTGAAATCACTTTGATATGTTCTTCCTTTCCTTTAGAAAAGTATTCAAGTCACGTATTAATTATGTATAGGGGTATAAAACTGTAAGCTTAATGTCCTAAATTTGAGGAATTTTTAGAAAAAGGAATAGAGTCCAGATAGCTTACTTGAAAAATTAGAGCCAAGGGGCTGATATACAATAATAGCTCTGTGTGAATTTTTGTTTCTCTATCCTAGGACGCTAGGCACGAGCCTGGGATTGTTTTTCACATAACTTCAGGCTAGATCTATGGGTTGTGGCATTTTCACTAGGATACAATTTTTTACTTTACACCATAATGTTAGTCAATGATAAAATAATGGTGATTTGGTGGGATTTGAACCCAAAACCTCAGGGACCGAAGTTTCGTGATCTAACCACTAGACCAACTTGCTTCCCAGCTATTTGTGTATTTAGAGCACAACGTACGTCATTGCCGCTCGACAACTGTAGATTGCAGCACGCAGCTTTAGTTTGAGAGTAGCAATGACTGTTTGTGCTCGTAATACACACAAGATCTTTCAGACTACCATAATTAACTCATCATAACACAAAGATTCACTTTTTAATTGTAATAATGTCATTTAGGTTATGTTTAATTTTTAGGTTATGTTATTTGCTTACCAGATGTTAGTGTTTTATAGAAATTCCAACAGTGGAATCAGCTGATATAGTGAGCGGGAATGGTCATTCTTGCTTGCAAACATGTGCAAGAATTAATGAAGCGGAAATGAGCTATTTTGGGTACTGTTTACAGGTGTGGCAATGTGAATTTCCATGCAGTGGTAGGAAAAAAATCATTTCTCTTAAACCTACTATCTGAAGATGTCCTACATCAGGTCGAAATATCAGTGATATGCTTTTTGTTATTCTATTGTATATACATCAGCCCTTGGACACTTTTCTCAGGTAAGCAAAACTATTCCCTTTCAAAAAATTGGCTTTCCTTTGAAATATGAAGTAGTTTTAGACTTTTTTTGCAACATTTGTCCGTACATTAAATGAAACCCCCTAATTTATAATTGGGATATTCCGAAGACCATTACCAGAACTACAAAACTGTTTTAGTGTTTTGTACTACCTTTGTCCAATTCCCATCCCCAGCTGTAGTAATCAATTATTAAATATTAATAGACAAGCATGTTTCTTGAAAACCTTTTTTCTCAGCTATTGTGCTTCGCAGGGAAAATCTACGCATAATGTTGGAAAGATATTTTCCTGTAGATGTGCAGAATCCCTTTATAAATTTAAATAGGCTAAAAAACCCAAAAAATGAATTAAAAATATATAAAAAAAGATTTTAATGGGCCGGGCAACGAAATATAAACAGAAAATCAAAACAAATTGAAGAAATTCCAATCACTTATGTTTTATTTACAGCGTGGGTTGAAAATAGAGAAGGCTGTACATTACGATTACATGATTATTTTTGGTTGAGTTTTCGACCAATAGAGGACCTCTAGTATTTATTAAAAGTTTGTTAACTACTTTTATAAATTTAATTGTGTAACATAGAGCACAAAGGCCTAGGTTTTTAGCATTTTTGGTGAGGCTAGCAGCCTTAATTGAACGGGAAAGAGCCCAAACTGGTACGTGAAACACAAAACTTTACACAATGCACAACATATTGGACTATGTCACTGTCACTAACATTTTCAACTAAGGAAGGTATGAGTAAAAGAGTGGAGATACACCTATAACTTCAATTTTGGACTCTTGAGCTTGCCATCCTCCCAAAGAAAATCCTAATTTAATAAATTTCAGAGTTCTAAATTATATATAGGTGTTCCTCTAACTGGGATATCATAAAAAATAGCTTAAATTTCAATCTCCAACTTTGATTTCACAGTTAGAGAAATGCACAACCTGGCTTTAGATTCATGGGTACTGTGAAAAATCATTCGGAAAAATATGAAACGTTACATTGAAGGTTTTTTTTTTATTACATGTGTCTCAATGGTACGAACAACTAGAAAATACTATCTCAAAACAAAATGACCCGTCAAACACAGCGATTGGAAACATTTTGATTTTACAAGTCTAAACAAATGGACTGTCATGTGAACGATTGTTGTAAATAACTTATCAGTCTGGATGTTATTTGTGACTGCTCGATTTATCTGCAGGGATGTTACCAAAATATTGTAACCAAACTATTGGTAAATATCACGGAAAATATATTTTTGATACACTATCGTAAAATCACCTTAATTCGTTATAAAAATTTTCATCAACTGCAAAAATACATCATTAACATGGTTTACTTCGCGAAAAGAATGTTTATCATCCAAAAGTAATGTTAATATCT